ATGATATTTGGCAGCTTGTCACTGCTGCGCTGCTTTATTGTTGCAGGGAAAACTGAGCTGCATGTATATCTGAGAGTCGCGATAAAAAGCAAAGAGCGCAACAGATCCCTGATCAAACACACCGCTCTTCCAAAAGATTGAAGATGAGCACCGAACATCAGAAAAGGAAAAGCTCTCCTATCCCCCGTCTCCTCCACAGCCTCCCTCCCTCCCTCCCCCTCTTCCTTCCTCTCCATCACACAAGTCATAATTTAACTAATTAAGGTGTGCTTTTGGAGAGGATCATGTTATTTGTTGCCATAGTGACAGCAAAAATCAATGCCGCTCAGCCTCCCCCGTCTCTCTCGGGCGCTCATCACATGGTGTCGCGAGTGACATCAGAGGGGCTTATCTGCAACCTGCTGAACACCAGCCATCCATGTGCGTTTGATTGAAGGCGGCGTCTATCGTTGCACGCCAGGCCGGTGACACAGAGGCTGAAAGGGAACACCGTGTTTGGAACAATTTGCTCTATCTCCTGCTGACTCGAGATTATCTCCCGGACAACAGTACGAAGAGGGAGAAAAGGGACGTGAGGTGAGGAGAGGCCTCAAACACGGGAGGAAGCAAGGTGAGCAGAGGAGGAAAGGAAGGAAGGCCGGAAAACGTAAAGAAGGAAAAATGTTTGTGCAGATTTCTGTCACTCAATCCCCCCTAACTGGCATCGCTCTCTCTTCCACACAGACACATAATGTAATACCTCGTGTTGGAAGCGATACACATTGCCTGAGAGGAGGGATTGGCTTGGTAAACCTCCCCATAATCTCATCTCACAGATGTAATTAGTCATAGAGCACGGCTGATGATACATATGTAATCCCTCTATGGGGGCTGAGGTGCACAGGGGAGCTCCGTGGCAAAGAAACAAGCACACCAAATCCACGCTTATCTGGCCCCATTTCCCTATAATGGGGTGGGGCGGCGGCGGCGGGGGCATAGACTCCTTCGTTCGCTGCCTACGTGTTCCCTAAAAAGCTCCGCGTGAGTCAAGTCACAGAAATAAATGTACCTTTTGATCGCTGCACCTTCTCAAGCAAGCAAAAATGTATTCTGCATGCAAACTCCCACGAAGCAGAGCAGGCGACGAGAAACGAGTCGAAACGCGCCAAAAGCCTCCGAACCTCGTTTCTCCGCATACTGTAAAAACGCCCCTCACCAGAACTTAAGCTGAACGGCGAAAAATCCAAATCAACTAAACAACAACAACAACAGTGGTTGGTGGTTTTTTCGACTGTGGCGCTCTCCCATTATGACTAATTCATGTCATAAAAAAGCCCATTAGAAAGCACTTGATGGAGGCACCGCACAGCGTTTAATCACACTTAATATATGCATGTGCCGCCATCGGGGGTTGGGGGGTGGGGGCAAGCACGGCGCATTCATCTTGCTCTTGGGCACCTTTGTGCCGGGTGAAAAAAA